AGTTGTTAGGTGAATCACTGCAGTTGTTAAGTTAGTGAGATGGTTGTTTAGTGAATCTTGACTTTGCTTGTCCAAATTTTGCAATGGCTGATCACATGATCCTGGGACACTGCAACCATCATAAATACATATCAAATGCCTAGTGCAGGGGTAGGCAACCTTGGCTCTTTTATGACTTATGGAAGTCCACGAGTCATAAAAGAGCCAAGGTTGCCTACCCCTGGCCTAGTGTCTGAATTCTGCTCCTGAAACCATGGGCATGCTGCAATGGTCGTAGGTGTGAAAAACAGTCATAAGTCACTTTTTTCAGTGCTGTTGTAACTTTGAACAGTCACTAAATAAACTGTTGTAAGTCAAGGATTACGTGTATAACATTTCCATAGCTACCCATCTTTCAAACAACTCTGAGCAGTTCCCAATCAAAAATCAAAAGACATATAAAATCATTTTTAAAACTATAGAACACAACCATTAAAATATAAAACATTAAAATCAACAAAAACCCTGGTGCCAATCAGTGCTAACATGCCATCGTCTAACCCCAAATATCCTTCATTTTGTACAATTTAAGGTGGTATATATAAAGTACCCATTCTCTATTTTCCCCACAGCCACCATCCTGTGAGGTGGGCTGGGGGTGAAAAAAAGGAGTTAGTCCAAAGTCACCCTGACAGCTCTCAATTGAATCAGAAGCATTATAATTCTAATAGTTTAAACATATGTCTATGGGAAGGTGGTACAAATCACTGCAGAAGCATAGGATGCAAAGTATCCAGTTATTCTAGTCTGGAAGCCCAAATGTGTTTTAGCTTTAAATAGATTGAAGAATTTTGAAATATTCAGTAAACTGGAAGGATGATCCAATTTTGAAAGCAAAATTGAGAATTTCTCCAAATCATAAATTACAAGCCAATCTCACTCTTTCAAAAATATTGTTTTTTCACATAAAGGATTACTAGCAGTTTTTTTTTATCTGCCAACATGCCCTGTCCCTACTATTCCAGTTTTTCAAGTGCACTAAATTACTGTTGATGCATTTAAGTTTTTCTTACCTATTCCTGTACTGCTGAAGTACCTATTTAACTCATTAAACAAAATAACAGAGTATTCATAATCAAAAGCATTAAAAGTTTTATAAGGAGGCCTTTTTGCAGAAAGTGTGTATCTCTCTCTGGTAAAATTTCTCTTAAAATGATCAGAGGCACAAACCAGGATAGACAAGTTTTAGTTGTATCTGTTCACTAAAGCAATTGTATTGAATAGAGCCTTCAAGGAACAACAGTGTAGCCACATTTAAAAAAAAAACAGCTGTTTTAAGGCAGAGAAGATCCATCTGTGTCACTTTATCAAGGGAGAGGGATGAGTTGATCCCTTGAAAAATATTGAGAGTAATGCAGCATGAGAGCAATTCAGAAATAAACCTCCATTTGGTTATCAATGAAAGATACTCGCAGTACTGAACTTTTATTATACACATTAGAAAACTACATTACATTACTTTTTGACATAACCACCATTCAAATTGAGACACTTGTCATAACGTCTTACAAGGTTTGAAATTCCTTAATAGTAGTCACGCAGTGCCAAATCTGGGCTATGGGGGGGTGATCAAAAACATCCCAATGGAACTGCTTCAAAAGTTCTTGGGTGCATCTAGCGGTATGCGGGCGAGCATTATCGTGAACCAACACCACGCTGGAAGTCAGCATGCCCGACGCTTGTTATGGATGGCTCATCTGAATTTTTGTAATGTTTCATGGTAGACATCTGAATTGATAGTCGAACCATGCTCCATGAACTTCATTAACAATACTTTTGACATCTTCACATTTGGTGGGATTTTCTATGGCACCACTTCCAGTGTGGTGTTGGTTCACGCTAATGCTCGCCTGCACACCATTAGATGCACCCAAGAACTTTTGAAGCAGTTCCATTGGGATGTTTTTGATCACCGATTATGTCAAAAAGTAATGTAATGTAGTTTTCTAACGTGTGTAATAAAAGTTTTGTATCTGTGAGTGTCTGTCATTGATAACCAAACAGAGGTTTATTTCTGAATTGCCCTCATAGCATACTCAGCTATCAATGCCCTACAGTTTAAGTTAATGGCCTGTTTTTATGGACTGTGTGTTTCAAGGATAAGAAGGATCTACAAATTTGGTTGCTGTGCACCAGTTTAGTATAGTGGTTAAGATACTGGCTTAGAAATGAAGAGACCAGGAGTTCTAGTCCTGCCTTAGGCATGAAGGCGGCTGGGTGACTTTGGCCCAGTGACTCTCTCTTAGCCCAATCCACCTCAAAGATTTGTTGTTGTGGGGGAAATAGGTGGAAGGAGCATTATATATGATTGCCACCCTGAGTTACTTATAAAGTAATACAGATAGGATAAAACTCTATAATAAATAAATAATAATTTTAAAAAATATAAGATGGTAGGACCACACTTGGAATACTGCATCCAGTTTTGGTCACCACGATGTAAAAAAGATGTTAAGACTCTAAAAAGAGTACAGAGAAGAGCAACAAAGATGATTAGGGGACTGGAGGCTAAAACATATAAGGAACGGTTGCTGGAATTGGGTATGTCTAGTTTAATGAAGGAAAGAATGAGGGGGGACATGATAGCAGTGCTCCAATATCTCAGGGGCTGCCACAAAGAAGAGGGAGTCAAGCTATTTTCCAAAGCACCTGAAGGCAGGACAAGAAGCAAAGGATGGAAGCTAACCAAAGAGAGAAGCAACCTAGAACTAAGGAGAAACTTCCTGACAGTTAGAACAATTAACCAGTGGAACAACCTGCCTCCAGAAGCAGTAAATGCTCCAACACTGGAAGTTTTTAAGAAGAAACTGGACAGCCATTTGTCCGAAATGGTATAGGATTTCCTGCCTGAGCAGGAGGTTGGACTAGATGACCTCCAAGTTCCCTTCCAACTTTATCATCATTATTATAAATGTATTTGCAACAGCAAGCCCAAAATATATACCAATTCCCCTAAATAAAATCAAACATAATATCTATCTCACATAAGAACTTTTATGAGTCATTTCTACTTGATTATTAAGACTGTTAAAAGAACTTGTTATTTTAGACTTCTTCTTTTTTGCTACCAAGAGACTATCAGCAACAGCTTTGTGACGCATTCAGAACTATACTTTGCACACAGAGATATGGGAAAAGACAAGAGAGTATGGGAAAAGTTGTCTTTTAGTCAGTACGTGCAAATACAGATATCCTGAAACTACAGATATCCTGAAACATCCCTTAAGAACTCTGGAGGGAAGAGTGCCTCAAAAAAAGCAAACAATGCTGGTTTTAAAAAGATACCATCAAAGCTGACTGAGGTTTTGAACTTTGAAATGTTTGAACCATGGATACATCCAGGGGAGTCCAATAATACAGTAAGTTGTAACAGCTTATAGAAGTTAGCAGACATATTTATATTCACATTTTACTGCTGCCAAGGAAAACCCAGTTTGAAATGGCTTGCGGACTTCAGGCTGAAGAGTTGAAGTAAAAGTATTTTTTAACGGTGTGTTTCATAACAGTAGAAATGCATTACTTTGGTCAGCATTTGCACAACTATTGCTAACGTCTTCAGTGTGCCAACACTTTTATATAACAGAAAGCAGTCCTGCTAAATGGCAGCATGCACTGCAAAAGGGGCTGAAGTTAACTTTAGTATAGCCAGATAAACACTGTATCAAAAGTTCGTATGTGAAGAAGTGGAACAAAAGCCAGAATCATCTCCTTGCCAAAGGTCCTGTGCTTTGGAGTCTACATATTACTTTAAGTAAAGCATGATGTGACCAAATAACTTGAGAGGCTTAATTGTTATGTCTTGGAACAATCATCCCAGAAGACAAAGCACACTACCAAACTGTAACTGCTACCAGAAAAATATTGGAGTTATACAAAAGTCTTTATTCCCAAATATCTTCGAAGAATCGTCAAGATCATTTTAGATTGTATAGCAACTTTCACAAATGTGTCCCCATATTGTTTAAGGCAAAACACTCCAGAAATGCAGCACTTATCATACACCTGATCATGCAGAAGAATTTAAGAATATGAGTCTCCCAGATCCTACCCATACAGAGGTTACTCAGCATTCCCTAGCCTTTGTCGTCTAGCTTGTTGTTCTGCAATTGTGTTTTTTCTCTCCACGCATTCAAAACAGATTTCCCAACTATTTTGCCTTTGCCATTTTAGAATTTCTTCAAGGTTTACTTGGGGATTTAATGCTGCGATGGCCTGCCAAAAAAAGTTGGTTTCTGTAAATTTATCTGGCAGCCTTTGTTGCTGACCATCTGGAGAATATTTTAAAGTGAAAAAGAGAAATTCAGAGGGAGAGACCTGCAACAAAAATAGTCGGCTCTTCTCTCCCCCCCCCCCTCCCCGCCGGCTCCAAGTCAAGAGATTCCTGTTTCGGTTTTGGCCAAGGACTTCTCTATAAAAGCACTGCACTCTGCCAGCGCCGTCTGGGGAACGACTGAAGCCTAGTACAGCAAATCCCTCCGTCTCTAGTCTTGAACAGAGCTCACCAACTCACCGTCAATGAAACTCTTGACTAGACGCTCTTCGGGGTTTAGCTTTCCACACGCACTGGCCGTCGTTAGACACGCATACACGAAAGTGTTTCGAAATGGGATGGAAGCGATTGAGATGGAAGTCTCTAGAACCATACGGAAGGGACAGTGCCCCTTATCGTGACCCGCAAGTCATCCGACGGGGCGGCGGATGGTCAAGATCCCCCAGTCCATGGAGAGTGCAAGGCACCGACAAAGGGGAAAGTTGCAAGCGCGGAATCCTACCATCAAGACCAGGCAAAGGACTGGCGCCAAGTTGTTGCTGCCGTTTGTCCCTTTCTCTAGTCAGGGCCACGCAAAATATTGCATTGCAGTCACATGACAACAGCATCGCCCACCCACCCACCCACCTACCCTACCCCCCATCCCAAACCCACTACCTCGTTCAACTGCCTCCTTTGCTTCTTTCGTTACCTGCAATCTCTCCGTTGCCGGCTGCCACATATTTCTCCCGCTGGGACCTGGCGGGGCGGAGCGGCGGGACAGGGTTGCTAACGAGCTGGCTGTGGAGCGGCTGCGGCGGGTCTCCAGCCAGGCTCGTTCACATCTGCTCGGCGTGTGTCAGTTCGGGGCCAGCCGCCAGAGGACAACGGGGGGGAGGAATCGAGCGCCGCCCAGCCGAGGAGGGGAAAGGAGGCGTGTGCGTTGGAGACGAGAAGCCCCGGTTGAACTTGGGCTGCGCGCAGCAAGAGCTCGGCGCCAGCTCCTCACCGCGGCGAGATGCGCCGTCCTATTGCCTTAGCTCCCCCTCTCCCCCCCGCCCCTCACCACCACGGCAGCAATGGGGCTAGCGGACGCTAAATCCCACCCCCACGAAGCCCCGCCCAGGCCACTCCTCTCCGCTAAGTTCCGCCTCTTCTCGGTCTCCCCAAGCGAGCGGCGTACTCCCTACAGTCGAGAGCTTCCCAGACCAACTGTTGCCCCCTCCCCTCCGCCGCCGCAATATATGCTTCGCTGCTACGGGTGGTGGTGTCCAGCGGTGTTGCTGCTGCTCTGCTATCCGGCCTAGAGTCAAGGATTCGCTGGTGGTGGTTCGGCTACGTGATTTCAGAAGCAAAAGCAAAGTACCATCTGCAATTAGACGGCGTCAGGAATTAACCTCTTTTCCTTTCTGTTAAAATGTGACGATTCCAACAAAGATTTCCTCGCTAGGATGTTTTTTTTTTTCCCGACTCTGGATCTGTGATCCAGCCTTTTAAGTTTCTGATAGAATAGATCATAGAGAAGAAAGTCTGTGTGCTCAGTAAGAGCGAACACAAGACTTGATGGCATGTGTTTGATAGTATTACAGCAAGACACTGGTGAAGAGGGCATAGCAGGGCCTACATTGTCTGCATTGCATGAGAAAAGTACCTCTTCCTTCCCCTGTCCTTACCACTTTCTATAGAGGGACATCCAGAGCATCCTGTCTTATTGCATTACAGTGTGGTTTGGAAGCATCACTGCCTCAGACAGGAAGGAGGTGCAGAGAGTGGTGAGGATGGCAAAAAAGATTATTGGTAGTTCACTTCCTTCTGTTCAGGCATATAAGCGATGCTTGAGCAGGGTCCGCAATATTGCCTGGGATGCTACAGATTCTCTTCATGACCTCTTTTCCTTGTTACCTTCTTGGAAAGGCTTCATGGTACCCAAAGCAGAACATCCAGATTCAGTCAGAGTTTTGTTCCATATAGCACCAACCTTGTGAACTTTCAAATTTCCTTTCTGCTATGTATTCTAAATGGACAGTGTTTAATATATAAGTATGGGTGTAGGTATATATGTATGCATGTATATAGCATGTGTATATGTGTGTGATTTATGGGTATGGTTAGATATATACTTTTGTTTGAGCGCAGGCAACAAAATTTCATTTTTAATAGGCCCACAGTAAAAAAATGACAATAAAGGTTATCTTATATCTTATCTTTGTAATCATTATTTTCATCAAGAAAGTGTAGGATTGGATTTCAACCAACTTCCCTTGTTTGTTGTGTTTTGTTTGTTAGATTTGTGCGCTGTGGGGGTAGACTTTATCCCTGTTTTTTCAAAAGTAAACTTCTTTCCCTACTGTGAGTTGTCAATATGGCTTCATTAAGCACTTCCAAATCCAGTATGAGTTGAAAGGGAGGAATAAGTTTAGATCACTGCTTTGCTCCAAGATTAATCATCCTTAATTCTTTAGCATTGTAACAATCCAACACTTTATAAATGATTTTATTGACCGCTAAGCTGTTAACTTGACTACCTTCCTGTTTGGGAATTGGTTCAGCGGTAGAATGCATGTTTATAAATTTGATTGGTAAATAAATATATGCTTTAAATGTTCAATCACATTTAAAACATTTATCTTGCATTGATCAGCAATTGCCAGCAGTGAAGGGAATGCTGAATTGACTGAGATCTTTTTATTTACTCTTTTCATCAGTAGGAGAGGGCCATGCTTTTTCCTTTATCACACTGTTAATCTGATCTTGGTTTAATTAGTCTTACACCAGAAGTCTTTTCACATTTCAGAAAATAATGAAATTCCTTCATTTCCATCACAAATCTAACAAATATGTAAAGTTTTAATTTTTTTTTTATCTACCTCACCTTATTGGTGAGGCAAAGTGAAGAGAACAGTCCAATTTTGGTCATTGATAGGTCCCTGAGGCAAAATCTGCGTAACATGCTAGAAATACAGGCCATTGGCTATTAATAGCCAACAAAGTGTCCTCAGAATGTCACCAGTCTGATACCTCACACCTTTTGTTAATTAGGAGAGCAAGATGTTATGTTGAAGTCATGCTGAAGTTCCATACAGAATAAACACTCATTTTTTACAAAAAACAAAAACTCTGTTTCTCTCTCTCTCCCTCTCTCTCTCTCTCTCTCTCTCTCTCTCTCTCTCTCTCTCTCTCTTCATCTATCTATTTTGGTTGATAAATATATTTGTTTCCAAACCCAAGGTGTCTATTTCATTATTTTAAGAATATAAATAGAATCAAATTAATTTAGGAAAATATTTTAGATTCTATATTTTTTCTGCATGTAGCCTGCATAATGTTTCCATTAAGGAATTTGCCAGTTAAGCTCATAACAAAACCTGAGACTATAAAGTACATTTGTATCTAGAAATCAGGTCTAGCAGTGTTCCAAGTCTAGCAACTTGCATCATTTATATCTGCCATTCCATCAGCAACATTATACAATAAAGAAAAAGGAAAAGACTTTCTGATACTCATTTGCAAAAGAAACTTTGTCTCCTCCATTATGCAATCTATGTTGGTTGGACAGAGTAAAGAGACATCTGCTGGTGAGCAATGCAGCTCATCTCCTTATTTGGTGGAACTTACAAAAAAAATGCATTTTCTACCTAGGTCACACATGGAAACAAGCAACAATATGGCAAGAGCAACATAGTTTGAAATTAACCATGCAACTGTTATGTTTGGTTTTAGATTTTGTTCACAATAAAATGATAGAAAAGCACATTGTTTGTGTAGAGTAGACTCTGAACTCATTTTTTTTGCAGAATAAGTTCTTAAAATCTGCAGAGAAATAATGGCTGCCGTTTCAGAAAAACTATCTTTTGGACAGTGCAATAATCAAACACTTGTATCTCATTTTCATTTTTGGAAGAAACCTATTGGAAATTGATATCTTGGGGTGGAGGACCATGATAACAACAATAATACTCTGGAGCAAAGTGAACACATTCTGGCTTTCACAGTGCTCATGTCAAGTCTTCTGAACAGTTAAAAAACAATCTCAGAATGCCGTACAAAGTAGTTGTATTCATAGGTTTAAACCAGTGGTTCTCAACCTGTGGGTCGGGACCCCATTTGGGGTCGAACGACCATTTCACGGGGGTCGCCAAACAAGGCTATCTGCCATTTTTCCCCCTTTTCTTTGGCCACGCCCCTGGCACCCGGTGATGTATAAGTGGTTGGGGGTCACCACAACATGGGGAACTGTATTATGGGGTCGCAGCATTAGAAAGGTTGAGAACCACTGTTTAAACCTACATATGTTATTTAATGTAGTTATTTAATTTTGATTAATAAGATATGTATCTAGTCAGTCATGGTTTAGCATGCTGTGTAGGATGATATCAGTACTGCAGAATGTCATTTTCAATAAGTTAACAGCTGTTTGCAGAACTGGAAGCAGCAGATATTTGTAAAAGTCAATCTTATTGCTTAAAGCACTGGAAGAAGTCCAGAAAACCCCATTAGGCTTTTGTAGTGGAAAGAGAAGCTGTTTCTCCAAATGCCTAAATGCTTGTACAGGGACTGCAGGATGCTGCCTTTCCCATTTTCACAAAGAAAATAGACTAAATTATTAATATGCACCAGTCTTCCTTAACTTGATGCTCTTCTAAATCTGTAGATCAACTTGTAGAATCACACTGTAGAATAGCCATGGCTAACAATTGCAGTGACTGGAACCCACTAATCCATATTGAGAAATTTCAAATTATGTGAAGTGGAACCTTTTTAAAAATGTATATTATGCCTACTGTTACACAACATTTTAATGGTTTTTACATTATTTTTTCCATGGTAATTATTCATAATCACTATTAAAATTTCAAGGCATGAATTATCCACTTCTTTAATTATATAAGGATGGTGAATAGATAGTTGGTTTTGTTCTTGTTATCTCTAACCAAGGCTGACGAAGGCTTATCTGAAATCTTGGACAAGTCTGCCTATGAATGGCCAGATTTAGAAGTAATGGTGTATCATGATTTGTTTAGCTAATTTCTGGCTTGCATGTATCCATTAGTCCTATCTGGCTAGCAAATTGTGGTCCTTTTCTATTAAAAAGCTATTGAACCAGATGGATAATAATTATTTATGTCTTCAAGTCAGTTTTTGATTCTTGGCGATTGCCTGGACTAGTTCCTGCAGTTTTGTTGGCAAGGTTTTAGGTAAGTGATTTGCCATTGCCTCTTTCTTAGCCTCCTTCCTAGGGCTGAGAGAGAATGGCTGGTCCAAGATCAAGAACCCACAGTGTCTCAGTTTTTAGCCTTGTGTTTTAACCACTTACCAAATTGGTTCCCAGATGGATAATATATTGATATTATATTTGTCCACTGCCAAAGAAAGGCTTGTTTGCCACAACTATTAACTGAAAGGAAATCATAAGGCACTACTAGCTACTACTACTATAGCAAAGAATGAAGATTGTAAGTAAGTCTTCTCACAATGTACTTACTGGATGGGCAGATATGCACCCTTGGCAAAGTGGTGCTCGATGTGAGCCTGTGCTTCTCTGTGTAGGACTTTGTAGGTAATAGCAAGCATTTGGACCCAGATCCAGAAACTGGGCAATAGCAACCAATGCACCTTTAGTACTCTACAACAATGGGATTGACCTATCACACTATAGATAAATAGACATATAGATAAGCTTTATTGTCATTTTTTACTGTGGGCACAATGACACACATTAAAAATGAAATTTAGTTGCTTGCTCTCAAAGTGTACACCTATATAGCATACATTTAAACATACTATATACAACATATGTATAACCTACACCCTTACATATAAGTAACATATAAATATTAATCACTTTCCTGATTAGCTGCGTTCTGTCCTGATAGCTGCTGCATTCTGGCTTAACTGCTGCATACTAGACTAGCCAGAGTTTCTGGGTGATCTCCAAATGCTCTCTTCATTAAGTACATTTAGGGGTGTCAAACTGCCAGCCCACAGGCCAGATGCATCACACAGAAGCTGCGCCCATCCCATTGCCGGCAATGGCAAAACT